AATTAGTAATACTGATTATTTATTGTAAGTTTTGTTAATCTTTTTTCTTTTATAATGGTAATTCTAATATAACTGATCATATTGATCATTACTGATGATCCTATTAAAGTGCTTATTTATTAATGTTAATTTTCTTATACTTAATTTATCATTTTTTATCAATCTTCTGACAATATTTTGGTTTATGATAAGTTGATAAGTAATATTTGGCAATAATTATATTTGTGTTTTTGAACGGGAGAAAAATTATAAGTTATGTTATTTCAAACATTTAACAAATCAATACCGAATTAATATACTGCTCATATTAAAAAAAATGAATTTCTATACTATTTTTATCTGAATATATGTAATAATATTGTTATCTTTGTAAATATAATTTTTGAAAGAGTGCCTTTCTGTTTTATTAATATTTAAATTAATTTGACGTTTATGATCATGAAGAAAAGAAATTATATCTTGGTATATTTTTGGAATTATAGGTTTGACACAATAATTATGCTGTTACTAAATAACATGTAACGAGATATATAACACTATTATATAAAATAATAAATTATAGTAAACTTATATTGTGTACTAACAGTTCAAAATAATTATAACATAATCTACTAGAAATATTTAATATTTATCAGTCAACATCAGAGAGACATTTTGATGAGAAGTCGTAAGAGAAATAAAATATATAAAAATATGAGTAGGAATATTACTACATTTAGATAAAATGCATTATAAGGATCAATAAAATAAAAAAGTATCTTCGATTAAAAATCATTGTAACGATATACTGAGTGATCCGATTTCAACGGCAGAAACTTTACCAGGTAATAAAAATCATGAAAATCTTCCATCTTAAACGTTTATCTGTATCAGTTTTAGATATCCAATTTTCTTATTTTTTTTTCTAAAATCTACTTAAATTTGAATATTGATTATATTCTATATCTTCCGCCAACCATCAGTGGCCGAGATAATAAAGAATTATATATAATTGGATTAAACATAAATAAGTATAATCCTGCATGAATCAACACCGAAAGAAGTGTCTTTTGATTAAACGGTCGTATTCTTATAGTATTTGTTTTATTATTAACAGTTTAAGAAAAATGCATTCTTTACAACATTTTTTGCTTGTTCTAAAATAGTTAATTCAGTTTATATTTTGCCAAATTTCCATACCGTTTTAGAGAAAAATAAAAAATGAGATTCTCAATATCAAAACGCATTTCTGTGGTAATATAATTTTTTTTCTTTAATACGTAGTTATTATCAAATGGTTATATTCTTTTATCTATGGTTATTATTAATTTTGATTTATATCATAATTCTTGCTGTGGTTAGAGTATCACGAGTTCCGATTACTAGTATCACCCTTTCCGTAACATTACTCTAAATAAATTTTGTGCTTTTTAACATTTTTAATTTGAATAGAGCAAAAAGTATGATGCTTAATCTAAATTAATAATAACCATCTAAATCAATGAATGAAAACAAAATCATACTACCACTGAAAAGCGTTTTGATTAGAGTTAGGACTTTAGACTTAGAAAAAATTAAATTTAACCAGGTTAGAGCAAGCAAAACTTTACGTAACTTTTACCGTAATTTTTCTCAAAATTTTAATAATAAAAAGGTTTTTCTTCTTGTAAAGACGATCTGGGGCTATCCTGTAGAAGGATCGTATTATACTAATTTTATTTTTATTCTTTTAGAAAATGAAGCCTATTTTACCTTTCTGCTCTCTTAACCACAATATCCTTTACATATATGTAGGTTCTAGTAGACACAGCTTTTTTATTTCCTGTTAAAGTTTGCTTGCTTAAATTTGGATCGTAGGGTATAGCTCTAATCAAATTTGAGTTTTTAAATGAAAAATTCAGGCCCGGATCAAGCCCAAAGGATCTCTCGCGCCCGGTCTGCCCCTCTACGCGGGTGGATATGTAACAAGGGCTAAAAGCTAATCCAACCCTATATAAATAAGCTTCACACAGCCCAAAAATACAAGCACTTAAAACAGTGCTGGAACTAATTACAGGTTTTTTCTTTAATTTGCTTGGCAATATTTGTCGTTGCAATTTTTAATATGCACTTATGCACTATTTGCACAGAATGTAACTATTCAACTCAGTATTATGTTTCAAATGCAGATTTGCAGAATTAACAAAGATATGCTTGAAATTTTCAAAATACTTGTTATTGTTTTAATGGTACAATTAAAAGAATTATGCTATAAAGAATAATACAATATAGAATACACAATGAAGAATATTTTGTTGTGACTTTTTATCAAGTGCTTTATCAAAGTTGAGCATCCTATTTACTTTGATGTTAAAAAGCACAAACATCAACTCCATTTTGAAAATACAGTCAATACTACAGTATATCTATCAGTTGGTACGATCCAAACGGCTTCCAAGCGAACCTTGCTAGTCCAAGTGTATTTGATCCAAGTACACTTTGACCAAGTCAACCAGATGCTGCCATATAAATATACCTAAACAGAAGTTGCGCACGTCTCACTTTTAAGCTGTTTATATGGCATCAACTGTTTTATCAAAGTCGAGTTGGACGGCTTCGTAGCATCCAAGTAAGTTGGAAGACAGCCTACTTACTTTGATACAACTTTGATAATAAAAAGCCTTCCAAATCGATTTGATTTATAAAACAGTCAATTTATACGAGAAGCGTACAAGTGCGACGTGCGCAGTTTTATTATAAGTACAGTTATATGGCAGCATTCAAGTATACTTGGTCCAAGTACACTTTGACCGTGTCATCCCGCCTTTATCGGCTAATAAAACAGTTGTTGTAAAATTTGATGATGATGCCAAAGGTTAGCGAATTGGTCAACATGTTTTAGTATTTTTTTATACCAATAAACTTGATATTTGACAGAGTATGATTTTTTGGTAATTTGTAATTGGGTTAAAAAACATAATTTGTTTTTTTAAAGAATGTTGAATCTCAAGAAATATAAAGGTTATAGCATGTTACAAGTGAGTAATACAAACTGCTAACATTGTACAAAGCTTGTATTTTTGAATACTAAAAATCCAACTTTAAAAAATCATGAAATTTAAGTTCAAACATTAAACGTTTGTAACTGCTGTGTAATAAAATATATCCTCAGAATTTTAACATAGAATAAATAAGATTTGTAAGTTTCCTAAATACTTTTTTTGCGGAATTTTGTTTTGGTTTTAAAGCTAAATTTTTTACGTGTTTCCTTCTGTTTTTCCTTGATATGAAGAGCAATGTAACTGCATCATTCAAAACTTGCATCGACAAATATTCCAATAATTTAATTATCATTTAATTGGTGTGAATGAGCACTACACAGCATCGTCGTTTAAGCGCATCGTTTGGTGCATTCTCCGCTTCAATAAAATCTTTTTTTTGGAAAAGCAGGCATGGATCGTTCAAAACTACTGCTATAGTATTTTGTGAAATTTAACATACATATTTACAAAAATTATTTAATAATAAAGTAAAAAATAATACAGGGTGTCTGGTTTCTGGTTTGTGAGTAGAGATACAAAGATGCGGTTTTTACATCGCTGTATTACTTTTTATGAAATTAAAGATGCTACACAGATTTGTCCTAGTCCCTTTAGTTTTTCAAATACAGGGCAAAATTGAATTGCTGCATTTTTCGGCCTCCTTCTATCTTATCTTATAACTTATCGAAAAGGCGAAAATTGAGTTTTATAGAGTTTTTCACGTAGAATTCAGTAGCGTAACTACAATTTGCTAGGAGCTGTTCTTGAAATTACAGCTCATATCATCATATATATTTTTTAAATGGAATACCAGGTATATTATTTTTATTTTAGTTCTCTTGTTATGACCTTTCTAAAGATATACTATACTCTATACTTATATTCATAAATAAAGTAAAATACATGCATTATTTATCTTTTTAACATAGGCGGCCGTTTTAAATTAGGTAATAAAAACAATCAAATAATTTATTCGACGTCTAATTTTGGTTATTAACTATTCCTAACTAGTTTCTGTCTATAGAATTATTGCACAAGTGCATCAAAAATATCAATAACTTTGGTTGGTGTTAGCTAAAGCTGCATAAGTTTTATTAAGAGCAGTTTAGAAAAAATAGTTTCGCCACTGGATTCTATATAAAAACTCTATGGAACTTAGTTTTCACATTTTTGATATGTTGTAGGATAACCGAGATACACCAAGGGGAGTGGAAAAATACAAAATTTTCTAATTCGCCCTGTATTTCAGAAATCAAGAGGGCTTGGACAAATCTGTGTAGGATCTTTAGTTTCATAAAAAAGTAGTACAGTGATGTGAAAACCGCATCATTGTATTTCTACTCATAAACGAGAAACCCCAAAAAAACACACGAAAATGAGACATCCTGTATATAATCAGATATAGGACAGAAATAGCAAAAATGGCCCAATCACCGGTCATAAAGGTAGTCTAAATAATATTTCAGCTAGGTAGTACCTATCTTATAAATAGTCTTAAGAATCGCTAAAAATTTCAAGAAATCTATTCCTACCTACAGGGAGTTAAAACTTTATACGCTTCTAAGCAATAGTTAACATAGTTTTTTAGACTACCCTCCATATACTCTGATACAATTCTTTCTTAACTGATAGAACGTTCTTTTACTGAGTGTTTTATAATCGAATTTTAAGACTTTAAGAAGTGATTTATTAATTTTTTAGATCTTTTATGATTAAAATTCAAATAACTATAATCCTTTTATTTTAGAAAACGATTAAACATTCATGAAAAGTAGTTCTAAAATTATCAGAATTATTGGAGCTATTAGAATGTTTATTAATACTCATGCCAGTAAAACATATAGAAGTTATAATGAAATACCGTATGATCGAAAAAAAAACGGCGTCAAAGACGGCTGGGGAATGACAATTGATGGAATTTTAGCGAGGTCAATCTCTAGACGCCATTTACTAAAAATTGACATGAAACTTGTCAAAAATTAACACTAATTACAGAAAGATTAAAAAAGGGTAGAACGTTTCCAGACACAAATCTATTTCCAAAAAAATTTTTTTTTTTCGAATTTTAAACCACATTTAAAAATAATTTTTACTCGATATGAAATAAATTGCAAGTTTCATATGGTGAACTGGCAGTAAGCGCCATCAAAAAGTACGGGCCCAGTAAATGACGTCTAGGGCTTGACCTCGCCAAAATTATCATCGATTGTCATTCCCCAGCCGTTTTTTCTTTCGATCCTATGGTATTTATGTTATTAGTAGATTATTTGTTTTCCTACTTTTGTATAAATAAAAAAATATATAAACCTGTTATATTTTTGCCATTTCCTTTTGAATCCTTTCTACTGAATATGAACTTTCTACTTAAACTAGACTAACAAATAAAATGTATGCACAGTTATCACTAAATTAAATAAAAATAGAAACGCGTATTTCATTTATTTAGGAAAACTGTTGCATTTGACTTTAATATGCTTGGAAAGAAATTGTTTTAAAAAAAATTAATAATTTAAAAGCATTTCAATTTTTAAACATTAGTGTTCGATTATAAAACATCATAGGTTAAAATATTTTGTTTTTATAACTAGGTAATAATATCACAGAAATAATTAATAAACAGTTTTACTTTGGCTAATACTATAGTGAATTGGGTTCATGCTCTGCCCATCCAAAAGAGCAACCTCACGATGCGCGGTATTGGCGTTGACTCAGTTTTAATTGTACGGCATATTATTATTAATGTCATTTAAAATTATTTATAGGTATTTTTTATTATTATGTAATAATAATTTTTGGCAGGATAACTCACCCTAGTAAACGAATTAAGGATTCCTCTGAACCAGTTTTTGAAATCGATAGTTAACATATTATACATCAATGTCACAGGTAAAGTCCGCATCATATGGGAATTTATTTTATTATTTGATTTAGATCAAATTTTACTTTGGCGTTAGTTTTGTTTTAAAACAGGTTAAAAATTACATAATAAAAATTACGCTGTTGTTATCAGATGTCTGTCAAATTTGATATTTAATAAAATATAAATGGTTAAGAAACGATTTTGTTGACCAAATTTTGAAAAAAAATGTCAATTATTATTATTTCAAAAATTGTTTCTTTTTAATTTTACATACATAAGTACACTGATTTTCAGCCGTCGAGATGAAAAATAAAATTTCGTAATTTTTAACCAATAGCAGCGGACTTTTACAATACTAAATGTCAAAATGTATTTTTTATAGCCTACTAGAGTATTGTTTTGCTTAGACATTGTCTCTATATGACCTCCAATCAAATTAAACTACTTCTCTAGGGGATCTGATTTTTAAGGAAAATCTAAACTTAAGTACGATTCAGTACGATCTCAGCCATAGACAATGTAGATAACTTTAGTGTTAAGAATAATTGTAAAATTAAGAATAATTGCGTAATTTAAAAAAAATGTTTTATCATTTGACAAATTTATATGTTTGGTTAATTATAATATATATATTATATGTTTGCTGCTATTAGTTAAAAATGACGAAAAGTTTTTCATCTAGATGGCTGAAAATTGGTATATTCTTGTAAAATTAAAAAAAAAACTTTTTCAAATAAAATTTTTTGAAATTTGGCCAAGACACCAGTTTTTTAGCCATTTATTACTTTAAATGTCAAATTTGACAGATACCGAGAGCGACAGGCAAAATTTTCTCATATCATTCTGATTTAATTTTGTTTATTGTTGTTGTTGTGCCTGTTTCAGAATAATCCTCAAATAAATATCAATCTCGCAATTAATTGCCATTTATCATGACAATGAATCAGAACTATTAAAAATGAATCACAACAGCATCTCATAAATTCAGCAATCACCATATAACCAATATCATACAAAAGTACCGAGAAATAGTCCTAACGTGGATAAAAATTTGATGTAACAGTTTGCGACTTTGGGGGACGATTTCAACATATCGCCATCGAGTTTGTGTCCGGATGAGCACTGCCCAACGTGGCCGATCGCACTGCACACGGTGGCAACATCCCTGCCGCATAACGATGGTGCGGCAACGTCGCGTGGCCATCGAAATAGTACACGGACCGAAATTTTGGCTAGACTTTTGCACTAGTGCCCGATCGTAGTACGTGACCGTCTTGTGGCGACCCCTCGTACCCTTTAAATACACACTATCTGGCTCGTAATGGCTAAAATGGCAACTCTGCGCTAAAGGGCGACTAGACGCAACATTTGGACGACCGTTTATACTACACCGTTGACGACACTTTACTACTGTAGCACTACACATTAATATAACTTCTAGGTAAATATGACGATGGTGGTAGATGTTGGCTTCAGCGGATATCGGGAAGTGGTCGCCCTTGGGGCGGCGCGGAGGGGCGGCTAATGGCAGGCTCAGCAAAGGATGGGGACGCAGCGCATCCGTCACTAAAACAAACATAACATATTTTAGAGAAATAGTTTAAACAGAAACCATGCCTTGCGAACTAGTGTCATAAGGCCTTTGATGCAATAAATGGAGTGGTCAGAATTAAAGTGGATCAAGTCCAATTTTCTATTATTTTAAGATAAATATTATAACGGAATAACGTATAATAAATAATACGTATTGTAACGGAATTTTAAATTGTCTTTATTTTCGAGAAAATTTAGTCCAAACACCATCAAAATCTGAAAAATAATATTTATCTTTAATTTCCTTCTTTATTTGTGTAAAAATACCTAGCGAGTTTTACATAAAACTTCTCAAGATATTTGATATATAAATTATCAATACATGTCAATTTATTGACAAAAAATAATCATGTTGACCAGATTTGACTGAAATGATAAATTTTGGAACTTTTTATTTTTTTTAATAATCATATTTTTTTCTAGAAAAAATTATGTTGTTGTTGAACCGTTTGTACAACAACATTTCAAATTTATGATTTCAGTCTAGCAACTATCTAGTCAACATGTTCAATTTTTGTTAATGATGACATATTAATGCGATATTATTTCGATTTGAAATATTTCGAGAACCATTAGCTGTACCAATTTTTACCAAGGAATCTTTTTGACTTAAAAAAAGGCAGAAATGTATATTTTTCACTCAGTAGTTTTATACAGGTACAAACGAAAAGTTCCGACATTGACATCGAAGTCAAATTTCTCATGTCAAAAAAAATTGGAAATAGATTTGTGTGTCTTGAAACGTTCTATCCTTTTTAAATCTTTCTATAACTATTGCTAATTGTTGACAAGTTTTATGTCAATTTTTCGTATATGACGTTTAGAGATTGACCTCGCCAAAATTATCATCGATTGTCAATCCCCAGCCGTCTTTGACGCCTTTTTTTTCTATCATACGGTACAATAGTGGCATATACAATTTAACACAATTTAGCTGTTGATATCATAACCCATTTAATTATAATTCTCTCGAATATAAAGCATATTGGGAATATAATAGGATCCCTTTCTATATGTTATATTTACAGCTGGAAATGGAGAAAAAAGGAATTTAGCTAGGATTTACAGCAAATCATTTACAGAAATATAATTCTGCAAACCTATTTCAGTTTTATTCTTCCCCACTATTGATGTATTTGTCAATGAAAATACTTTTTCATGAGCTATTTACTGTTTTATTTTTATTTTCCTTGCGACTGTACGCTATTAATTATGTATGTATCTCCTATTGATGCGCGTCTCACAAAACATAACAATCGATAAAAAGATCTTCCAGATATATAATATTAATCGGGGTATCTATTCTATAATATATTAAAACTATTATTGTTTGCTTAATACTTATACCAGCAATTTGTGTATTAAACTATTAAAGAATTAATAATAACGTGATTACTTAACGATATATAAATTTGGCTAATTTCCTGAGAGTTTTCATTCGTACGAATTTACGATTGATAGGTTCCCGACCCTCCTAACAATTTCCTTTGCTAATCGGCCCGAACCTGAAACGTTCGTGCATCTTCGTTACGCCTGCGGCGCGCGGCACTCGCCGTTGTCGTGGCAACGCGTGATGCGCCGTGCGATCGCTCGATAGAGAGCCGAAAGCCGCCCATACAGTTCTGGATGTAGACCGAACAACGTTGCCAAAATATTTACAATTTATCAGTAGACCGAGGGAAATTTCCTATTTTAGACTTAATTATTATACTTTACCATAAACTTTATGAAATATTTCGATAAATGTGTTAGGGAAGAAGGAGTTTTTGAGGTGATTTAATTTATTTAAGTCGACGATTTATAATACATGGCAACGCGGTGATGCAGCACTTTAAGGTCATGCGGCACAGTGGCAGCTGAACAAAACCTATACATAGGTGAAGGAGATTAAATGGAGAAAAAGGGAGAGGGACGATCTCACCAATATTTTTTGTTTAAACATACTAACGTATGTTTTTTTCTATTGAAATGTCATTTGTCTTGATTTTTTGTCACAATTTATTAGATTATGATTCACAATTTTTAAAACTTCAGCTTTAGCTACGCTTTGTAACCAAAGATTTGTTCTCCGCGATATACGTTGTTTAAACTGTTGTCCTGTAATTGATCCTATTAAAATGGCGGTTTCTTAATTAGCAAAGTTTCTATAAATCACAATTCATTGGTATACGATACAAAACTGCAATACTTATAATACCTATTCCTAATGAGGTATTTGAGAATTTAATAGATTAAATTGAAATGGCGTTTTCTATATCTTGAGTTCTCGTATTAGATTATGATACGGTATTTAATAAAATTTCATCAGGATAATATAAAATCGCTAATATTTAAGTCATAATATTTCTTATTATTATTATCGTTTATCGATATCTTACATTGAAAACCTCGTATCTTTCATTTTTGGCAAAAATTATATTTATAGTCTATTCGATAAATACCTCATAGTCAACTTGTTGTATTGTAACAGGATTGAATTATTTTGATCATTGCGCTATTTGTGGACATTTTTTTTACAAGTACTAGGAGCAGAGCTCAACTAACATTTTTTTATTTTTCCTGTGATGACAGGTTTTGGATTTTTTTAGATTTTTATTATCTCTATGTATGTGAGGAGTTTCAGCGCTATATATTTTTGAATGTTTTAATATAATTTGTCTCAATGAAATGGTATCTTCTTAATAAATCGATTTATCATCACAAATTACCGTTAAATGATATAAGAGTTTTAACAAACTTCAGTAGTTATTAAATTTATACACAGTGACAGAAATCAAAGGGAAGAAAAGGCAGAAAGAACATCTTACAGATTTTTTTCTATCAAGTATTTAATACATTTTTAATTTTATTTCATAAGTTATTAGAATACGATATACAATATTTAAAACTTGAACATTGAAAGTTGTTTTTTATTATTACTACTTAATATATGATCACTTTTATCAACTCTGTGAATTATTTTTCTGTGTTATGCTGTTTTTCTTAGGTAAATATAATTGGGTATTCATATTTCATTATTTGACCGATGTTTAAAATTCTAATTCCATTTTTAAATTAGTTATTAAGTTAATAGTCCTATTTTTATGAGAGGAAGTCAATCTTACCAATTTATTTTGTTACATATTATACTTTATTCAGTAAAGTATATTTTTGTACATTATTCCATTCTTTTCATAATTTATTAGAGTATGCTTCATGGTTTTTAATATGTTAATAATTATTTAATGCATTTTTATGCTTTTATGTGTTATGATTGTTATGATGATAATGCATATAATTGATAATGTTTCCGTTATTTTTATAGAGAAATCGACGAAATCTTTTATTTCAATTTTGTTATTTCAGAATATGCTAACAAACCGATTTTTCAACAGTAGTAGTTAGGTTATTACTATTCTTTTTACTATTCTTGTTATTGAAAGAAGATAATTATAAAGCTGTATATTTTAAAAATACAATGCCACATTTCTGTAGCGAAACATCTTTAAATTTGGTCAGTAAAAATATTTAACTAAAATGTTTAAGAGGTTAAAAGTTTTGATTTAAATACACTCACCGGCCGGCACGAAAGATGATATTTTTATTAGTCCTTTAAATTCTAGTATTGAATATAAATCGACCATGTCTCCATAGCGCAGTGCGTAGAGTTTCCGACCACGAATCGATGATTCAGAGTTCGAATCCGGGTCGAGGGAAAGACTTTTTTATTTTATTTTCGTTTATATTCTGATAGTAAAGTATTAAATAATTCTGATAATTAAATAAAAACAAATATTTAATACTTTACTATCAGAATATAAACGAAAATAAAATAAAAAAGTCTTTCCCTCGACCCGGATTCGAACTCTGAATCATCGATTCGTGGTCGGAAACTCTACGCACTGCGCTATGGAGACATGTGCGATTTATATTCCATACTAGAATTTATAGAACTAAATTAATAAAAAATATAGGATCTTCTTCCGATGCGCAGTAGTGAACGCAACGGGTATCGGCCGCATGCTGTTCCAGAGAGCATACTAAAAGATATATCAAAGAGCTAGACGTCTTAAAATACTTTCTCGAAAACGTTGCTAGCTCTTAGACTAATAGCCCTTGGCACAAGTTAAGGTAGTTAAATAAATGTAATTATTTGAGGATGCGGGAGTGGGTAATGTATTTGTATTGGTTTGTAAAATTTTATTTGTTTATGGTTGACACTGAAACTAACTGCAAATATTAATTATTTTATTTGTGTATATATTTTTTTGAATTTACTAGCCCTGCTGCCAAAATAAAGATTATTATTAAAAAAAACAATAAATCACGTATATTAAGCTGAAAAAAGTAAGCTGATATTTTGTGTAATGAACTAAAGGAATCAAAATATATGAATTATATTTTTGCTTCGCAATTTTAAACCAAAATATTTACATATCGACTATAAGCTAATAGATTATATTTTTGTCAGATAGAGACATTGATGTTACATGGCTATAACGTGGAATAATTATTATACATCGACTTGGCTCTCTAACGAAAATAATTTGAATCGCTCGGATGATAGTAATTTCTAAATTCCGAACGATTCGATTGAGTTTCTCCAAGCCTTGCCTCCAATGAAACAATCACCCTGCCGCACAGTGGCGCATCTAACGTTAAATATCAGCCAAAGGTGATTTTGAAAAAAATGTTTTGTTTTTGTTTATTTGTTTATCTACTTTATATTTTATGTTACGAAAACAGTTCTAATGGAACAGTGCGTATTTTTTGGATATTTTTTCCATAAATGCTATATTAATTTTATCTATTAATTTTAATTAAAGCTTCATTCGGAACTTAGAACTTAGAAATTAGTGGAATTCGGAACTTAGAAATTAGTGGAATAAATTAGTGGTTTCAATTAGCGTAGAAGTTTATTCCTCTAATTTCAATGTAAGAATTCCGAACGTCAAAATTAGTGCTAGTAAAGCTTCATTCAGAACCTCGCAATT